GTACAAACACTCGAGATCTCCAAAATTTAGAAACTGAATATTTGGAACGTTCAAAGTTTTGGACCACTCAAGAATATTTGACAGTACAAACAGTCGAGATCTTCAAAATTTAAAAACTGAACATTTGGAGCGTTCGAAAATTTGGACCACTGAAGAATATTTGACAATACAAACACTCGAGATCTCCAAAATTTAGAAACTGAATATTTGGAACGTTCGAAAATTTGGACCACTGAAGAATATTTGACAGTACAAACACTCGAGATCTCCAAAATTTAGAAACTGAACATTTGAAGCGTTCAAAAATTTGGACCACTGAAGAATATTTGACAGCACAAACACTCGAAACCTTTGAAATTTAGAAGTCAAAATATCCGAAGTCCCTGGGACCAAAAGACATCGCCAAAGACGCGCAACAACATTTCAGAATGAAATTGTCTGGAATTCCATTCGCGTACAGAATTCGCATGATGCGATACGTGATTGGCAATTTCATTTACATTCCCCTGCCAAAAACGTATCGCACGTATATACCATTCGCCTACAAAGCTCTCACGTTTTACGAGCGTGGCCGTTCGTCGTTGGGCAAACATTTCGGTTTCCCTTAATTTAAGACCAGAATCGGCAGAATGAAAACAAATTGGCGGGAATAGGAAAAGCGTTTCCCAGTTTGATTTGCTGGAAATATCCGGCAGACCTGGAAGAGGGATTCCTACGCGGTACAAAGAGAGACCAAGGGACTTCTGAAAACGGTGATCACGTTTTTTTAATTAAACCGAAAGTTAGACTCCCGCCGAGTTCTGGCGTACACCGCCCTCCCCGTCCTCGACAATCGAGACGGCTGGTTTAATCACGGCGTGTAATAATGACGGCAAATAAATTAAACTGGACCGTAACGCTTGTCCGCTCGAGCGGAACCCTCGAAGAAAGATCGCGTGCCGGAAACAAAAGGGCCGACAGCAACGATTCAATAAACTTCGACGACACCGGGGATTCCATGGTGGACTGGAAGACTTGGCAATCTCGAGTATTTCCTTTCTCTTCCCTCCATTTTTTTTTTCTTTTTTTTTTCACTCGAAACTTGATTACTTAGTATTCTACGTGATAATTTCGTTGCTGCAGGCAGACACGTGTTGATGAAATAAATCGTAAAGAAATCTTTTCGTCACGATTGAACATGTTGATTATATAATTTTGTTACGAATTATATCTCTAAAGTCGGTGGAAGAATGAGATCGAAAGATTTAATGATTACACGAGCAATCGGTGTTCTTTAGAACAGTTTTAACCTACTGTTTCTATCTTCTTCGATAATTTGTTACTGTAACGTATCTGTATTGTATTCGTTATCTTATCAATACGTTTAAAGAACTTTCGTGTTTAAAGAATGGAAATTCTTGAAGTTCGAATCCAAATGTTACGAGACTGCAATCTTCTTCAGAATTGAAACTAATAGTCGCAAGTGTGACCTGTTGCAAACAATTTCTAGTAGCCACGAACAATAAGAATACTTCTAACACTGATAAGACGAGTCAAAGCACGAGAACGTGATTAAAGGAGAAGTTAATCTTGTCAGAAATATCGAAATCACAACAGCTGTTAATCGTGGAATACACTCTGTCCGATAGTTGCTTCACGGACCTTTGGCTCGATAAACATTTATCGAGGCCAGATTGACGATAAATTAACAGCACAATCGATGGTCGATCCGCATTAGCAAACTGACGCAGTTAGTGTGACATTTCTGGCAGTTGTGGCTTTCCTAGAAAGCTTGGGCATTTCTATCGCAAAACAATGCGACCGAAGGTCTCGCAGAATTGTTTCACAAATGGAGATTAAAGGATCAATTTGGACGAGTTTGGCCTGAATATACGAATGCTCTTTTGTTCAAATTCGTTACTGGAACTACGTTGACGTTCTAATTTGCCTTCACGTTTGATTGAAATTTGACCATTTCCCGACTAAAAGCGTTTTTACTTTAATTTGCTGTTGCAAGGAGACACTTTCGCTTTAAGGAACCTGCTGTAACTGAGATGTGCGTTCAAAAATTTCTGTCAATTCATCACTGAAGAAATAGAAAGAAAGAGAGAAAAAAAAATGTAATATACTCTGTACATTATAATATGAATATTTCGATTGTGTTCATTCGTATGTCACGCTGAAAGTGATAACAAAAATTTGCTAAATGTTTATATGACACGTTGGAAATTGTTTCAAAAACGATCACACTTTAAAAAGTTGCAAAAAATAAATAATAATAATAATAAGTAAATAAAAAATTAAATTTTACCGTGTTGTCTTATCTAATTTACCTTGGAATAAATACAACAACATTGAAAACAAATCGAGATCAAAGAGTTTGAATATTTTGTACAAATAATTCTACATTATACGTATTTTTGCAAGGTAAATATAACATAAAATAAAATTTAATTACAATAAAAAAATAGTTTTTAGTAGCAATATATTTTCTTGTTGGAAAATTCGTAATTACAGTAAAACATTTTTTAAATTCAATTTGTAAAATTATATATATATATTTTTTTTTTTCACTACAATTGGACGCATTTAAAAGTATTACAACATCCTCGTAATTACTTCTTTTTTCCAACAATACATCCTCGCATTATTGTACACATGCCCGAACAAAATGTTAATCATAACGGAGAGAGCTAGCTTCAAATTAATTATTTCCACCAGAGTGGAAGCAACGATTCTTACCCAATTTATACTTTCACATCAGGTAAAATATTAATGTATGTATATCGAATTACAGCGCAGACGTCCCACAAATAATCCTACACAAACATCAGACCGTGCGACACTCGGAATCGTACATCATCGCCAATTACACTTCCAATAAATGCGCGTACATTCGCCATTTCAATTTCGTTCGGCATCGCCGTCCCCTCCTTCCAGCGCGCCAATTTTCAGTCTGAATTCCATCGATGCAAACAGCTCAATTTCGCCCTGTAATTCTCAAGAAACCGCATGTCTGATGAGAGAGAGAGAGAGAGAGAGAGAGAGAGAGGAGATATCATGATGCTTTGCGACGCCTCTGTACAAATAAGAGAAGCGGCAAACAGCGGGCGGTCACGGGTATTTAAGCACGGGCCCAGGTTTGCCAACTGCACATCGAACGCGGTACGTTCGACGTCGAGTAAACCCCTGTGAGTAACGCGTCGTGGATAACGAAGTGAAATCAGTCAGAATTCGCGTCTACAGTAGTTACTGTTGGCAGCGAGGAAACACGCGTGATTCATTTGTGAATCTCTTCGAGGCGAATCGAAAATGGCCTACGATCGTGTTATATTTCCGCTGCTGGTTTGCGTCCTATGTTTCGCATCCTACTGCGCACCCTGCTCGATGGACGTTGGACAGACGCTGGACCTGAGTCAGGTATCGCCACGTTTCGATCGGTTTTCCGGTCAATTTAGGTAGATAATAATACGTGTGGATGCGACATCGAAGTAACCAGTAGTTTTTGAATCAATGGTGTACAGGGTGGAAGTTTCTTAATCATTTAACACGGCGGACGCATGCGTCCTAACAGCGACTTTATAGTTCTGCACGCGTGGATGTCTGTACACGTAACATTTTTATTTCGAATAATGTTGACGGTTGGCTTCATCGTTTGTACTGTTAATGCTACAACTACGATACATCAAGTGTTAGTGAAACATAATACGAAAATCACGTAAAACAGAATCATAAAGTCGCTGTTAGCACGCACGCAGTGTTGAGAATTTTTTCTTGCCATTTTGCATGAACTTTTTCAAGAGAATAGGGTGCGATTAATGGTTCCTTAGAGAAACTTTACTTTTGTGATGAGTAGAATACAATGCAAACGAAAGAAAAGAAAAATTTTGACTTTGAAATTCAAGACAGGTTCTTTACATGTATTTCAGACAAACTTTCCTTTTCATACTGTACATACAGATGTCTGCGCAATTATCTTTTATTCGATATAGAAAAAATTGTTCCGAGTAGAAATTAGGAATCTTAGTTTAGACTTTAGATTCTATAAAGACATTGTTCTTTCAAATAAATTATTTTATAAAAAAACTTATATTTTTGTTATTTTATAATAAACTACTTTCAAATAAATTAATATAATTAGCTGCAAATAGTTTATTTTCAAATAAATGTATTTCATTGAAAATAATACTTTCTTCAGATGAACTGGATTGCGTAGAACGTTTCAATAGGACACCGTGTATATAACTGAGAAAGAAGATCCTGTGCAATTTGCGTAACTCTATTTTTCAAACGAACTGGCAAAAAACTGGGCAAACATTGATTGTAGTTCACTATATATTAATTTCGAATTTCTGCGCATAAATGTTAATTATTCAGTGATCTTTCTATTCACATCCACAATTGAGAGTGTCAATAATTTTCATAACGATCGAAAATTCTTGAAGAACATTTGTATCAATCTTCAATACGTAGTGTAATATTAAAAAGTTGATGCAACAAAACAATAGTAGATATAAACGTGAGATCGCGCGTGACAGCAGAGATTTTTCAATTTCCCATTCGATCCATTCGAAAATGAGACTTCACACACGACTCCAACGATTTGTGGATTTTGTCTCTGAACGTCAGCGACGTGTTTCATTTTCATTTCACTATCAAATCATTGCGAACATAAACAGAGAAAACCGGCACACTGTGGTATAACATATCGCAGGCATGTTCATTGTTACACATTTACTCATTGTTACCAAACCGAGTGACTTCTGCAGTATTGATCGCGTCGCGTGACTGCACGGTCTGATAATTATTCGAAACGCGTTTCTGCCAACCATATACAAATAAATAGCAATACGATACGCGTACGCATAATCACATTCGTAAGAGACGTCCGTTCGAAATCTGGCAATTTGCTAGCCCAGCTACATACGTTTCGCACAATATGGTTGCGAACACGTGACACAGCTGCATCGACACGCGTAAATTCGGGAACGTTGAGACAACACATCGCTAGCATTCGAATCGTGTCAATATTGGATCGTTACGCGCAATCGTACGCATTAATTTTCAGACTCGCATGCGTGCGCACGGATCCGAGTCAAATTTACGCGCGCCGCCTCCGTGGAAAGCTGCGAATCAATAATGGAATGAAACCGTTCAGTTTAAGTCAAACGCTCGTAGAAACGCTCCAAGTTTCAGACGAAAGTTAAACTTCCAGGAGGAAAAATATGCAAAACGTCCATTTGCAAGAACTGCTGCGAAACACTTTAATAAGCGAGCCAAGCGATTATTTCGAAAAAAGAACAGATGTACAACGACTTGACACTTGAACTATCGACGACTATCGAGGCATAAAATTTCCATCAGAAGCATGAAAATAAAGAGAATGGAAAAGCTTTATAATGTAATGAATGAAGGCAAGCTTACGATTTATTACATTTAGATATCTACTAATTTTGCAACCAGTATTGCAACCGATGGCGAGTCTCGAAGAATAAAAAAAAAGAAGAAAAAGAAGAAAATTATAAATATGACCAAACGATGCTTTCAACCCTACTGCGCGATTTTTGAATCATTATGTTTCTACACTCTGTTTAGCAAACAAAGAGGATTTAGAATTTATTTGTTATATACAAAGATGTTTAACATGAGACTTCGAATTTTTCGACAGATTTTTTTTCGTAAATTCTCACGCTTGAACTTGAGATACTTTTCAATTTCTGACAAACATAAGTGGGGTGAAAAATGAGCGGAAGAGCGCAACAGGGTTAAATAAATTCTGCGAGAAAATTGTAGCTTTCAGAGAATTATCTATACATTTCTATATTAGTTTGCAGGAAAGTGGTATTTTATTGCTGGCACGTCGACGAACCTAAGCTTGAGCAGTTGCGGATGGTTCCTGGTGAAAGAAACAACGTCCACCGACTTTGTAATAAGATTCAGGGGGCATCGTCATAAGAGTAACATTCCTGTCGTTTCTAACATAGTGGGGAAAGTCGATGGGAATAATATCGTTACATACTGGCGTAGGCTAAGATCGAGAAGGAAATTAGGTAAGTTTCTAGACATATTACGAATACTTCTCGAAAGCATAAAACTCGCGCGAATGGAATCGAATTAAAGAGATTCTCCAAATTATTCTATATCCCGTTATTACGATTCTGCTAGGGAACACTCTGGAATGCTCCAGGAAATAATTAAAAATTCAAAGTTTTTAGCCAGAACTTTAAACAGCGTTTTATTCGAAGTGAAAATCTCTGAAAGATTTCACCGAATTTACTTGAATGAAAATTTTGCGGTAATATTCCCAAGGCTGTTATCTATATATTTCTTTTCTTCCTTTTCTGTTGTCAAGGAAACAGAGAATTTAAAATTCACAAATTACAGGTTCAAGGTTTACTCTTTTTTTTTTTAAAAGTTGGTATTTTAAATCGCTTTTGACAAACACTAGCTTTTCTTGTACAATTTGATACACCTACAGCATATGATGATGTTTCGATGAAACGGCCATGGCTAAATGATTGCCATATTCCTGCTACCTTTGTACATTTAGTTTAAATTTTTGACAGTCACTAATCGAACAGCATATGACAAAATGTACACATTACTTTTTCAATGAAACGTAATTTTATCTTCAAAGAAAACTATTTAATTTTCCTTATCCTGCAACGATTCAAAGGTATGTAACTCCTTAATACAAAGGAACAACGATCATGTATTTAACCACATATTCGAATTTTTCGAAAATATACTTTTATAAATGTGTTGTGAATTTGCAAAATCCACAAAAAAAAAGATACACTATTCCTGATAACTCTAATTCGGCTTTCTTCGACGAAGAAGATAAAAAAGCAATTGAGCCTAAATTCTTCGATTCTCTATAATTCTAAAACTTAGAAATTCCTCTCGAAAGACGGAACTATAATTTTCT